GAAAGCCTCATCTTTCTCCCGCGGAGCGGCTGGTAGTTTCGAACAGCTGACCTTAAGGTTCGCAGCCCGATTCGTAACCACTACGCTACCAGAGTGACTATAGGACAATAAAAAAAGATTAGAACTATCCTCTAGGGTTTCCAAGGCTGTAAATCTTTATGGAAGGAGGTTGTCATACCTGCTTCCCAGAAAGCAGCTGGTGGGTTCAAATTGCCAAAGTTGTGATTAGTAGCTGAGTACATAAACATGGCTTAATTGTTGCTGTTGTTAAATGCTGCCAATACAATTCGAACTCATAGAGACCCTCTATGGGTTTCTAAGGAATAGTTGGTGGGTTTGACTTACCTATCTTGCACTTAGCAGTCCAGTGCTTATCCTGCAGCATTACACCAAGAGTCCAAACAGTGGTTAATAGAGCTTCTTAATTTCTTTCTCAGGATTTCTCCCCTACGCCATTTTGTTAAATACCATTTACCAACTGGTGCTTTGTGTTCTTACCCCTCCCTTTCTTGTGGAATGTATTTCAAGTTTCTCCTGTAACTACCACTTATTGGGAGCTAATTTAGGCAGGGCATTGTGGCAGTACTCAGAAACTGTAAGTAACTTGACCAAAGCCATGTAGTTCTAACTCAGATATATCTGTTTCCAGAATCTCGTATTACCTTGCACAGGGATTTTTTGTATCTGTCTTATAGCTTCTGAGCTCAGGAATTAATGTTAGTAGAAGTGCCTGGCCTACCAGCCCCTAGTCACACATTACCCAGGATTCTGAATGGAACCTTTGACCCCACCTTTTTAACACTTAACATGAGTAATATGCCAAGCCCTTAGGGTCTGGCCCATGGATAATTAGAAAGATGCAACTTATAAATGCATTCATTTTATGACAGAGTGATATTTCCCAGATGTTGTTTACGTTTGAAGTAAGGACAAGAGTGTTATCCCTACATAAATTGTAACTCTCAATGTAGCACCCACCCCTCTTTTGGAATATGGACAGATAACAGAGAAAATTTTCTGACTAAGGAGCCTCCCAATGCCTTGTGAGTAACTGATTTCTGAAAAATGTAGCAGGGACACCAATATCTATGTTGAATTGAATTAAATGTCACAGGTAAATTAAGAAGTGTATCTGTAGATTTTCAGCACATGGTCTAAAAATTAAATTAGCTGCTAAACAGATACATAACTAATAGTTGAATTCATTATATTCTATAATTTTAAATGACTTTCTGGAAAAAAATCATTTTTCCCTCAAATTTTATTAAAAACAGTAAGTTGTTTTCAGTATTACTTGGAAGACTGGGGGAACTAGAAAAGGTACACTACTGTCCTTAAGTGCCAAGTTAGTTCTGACTCATAGTCATTCTATATAAGGTTTCTAAGATGGGCTTGAACTGCTGACCTTGGCAGGTAGCAGCCCAGTGCTTATCTTACAGAGCCACACTAGAAGTTCTGGAAAGATCTACATATTAAAGAAAAATAAAAAAAGTTGTAAGTATAATTCAGATCAATAGTAAATCACCCATTGCTCTAATATTGCTGAAAATCATTTTCAGATGCTACCAAATTAAGATCTGTGTGAAAAAATAAGTTATATTGGGAATTGTGCTAACCAAAAAGTAATTCAGTGATTTGACATTTGTATCCGTTCTTGTTATTTCTTAGGAATGCACCAACATTTGCTGTGATGCTAAAATATGTAAAATCAAATCAAATTTTCAATGTGCATTAGGAGAATGCTGTGAAAAATGCCAAGTAAGATTATTTCTTTATAGTATCTTAATTATCATGATTAGTTTATATTTTTTTCTCTACGAGAGGGCTTCAAAAGGAACATGGAAGAATGGAATTAAAAGATCATGGAATTTTTCCACAAAAATTTGAAACCTGTTAATATTAATATTTCATACTACGTCAAATGAATAAGGCAAATCCGTAGTTTTTTCTTTCTATGAAATCATTTTACCTTACTATGTATTAGACCTTTATTAAGTGCTTTACATATAAGACTTAGTTAATCCTCTATCAGTTTTTGAGGTATTGTAATTTAATTTTGATTTTGAAGAAATGGAAGCTCAGAGTTAAAAATGTGCAAAATAATGTGCTCCCTAAATGGCAGGCCCCCAATGTGACTGACTCCCTGGTCTATTTTAGTTGTTCCTACATGTTTGCTGCTTCCTCTAGTGCCACGTGGTTGTCTTAGATCACATTTTATCATATCAATTACATAAGGTTTTTGCAGTATTTTTATTTTGCATATTGTCTGGGAAGCACTGTCTTCAACCTTTGAAGTCATTTGAGGCTGAAATTCTTAGAAATAAGACATAAAACGAGAATGCTGTATCACTTTCTTCGTTCAGTTTTTTTTGACTTTCCCTGCAATACAGAACTTAGCAATAGAACTTTTAAATGCTGAACTGCAGAAGGAAAGTGTAGATGATATAACAGGTTATGGACAATGTTTAGTGTAGAATATGTATATGTTGTTGTTGTTAAGTGTCGTGAAGTCAATTCCAACTCATTGTGACCCTGTATAGGGTTTTGAGGAGCAACTTGTGAGTATGAACCTCCCGAACTTGTGGTTCCAACCAACCTTGCAGTCCATTGTTTATTCCACAGTACCACACCAGGAATCCAGAATATTTGTGTATATATAAATATATATTTAAGGAGTCCTGGTGTGGCGCTGAGGGTTAATGCACTGGAATGCAAATCAGGTTGAGAAGAAAGGTCAGCTCACCGTATACAGGGTCGGTATGGGTCGGAACTGACTCAATGGCACTTAACAAGAACATATATATTCAATGTAAGAAGATATGCAAAAGAAAGCAAATTTAACAAATTAAGTAATACTCAACAAGCGTTTATTAAGTGTGCTTTGCTAGAGATTATGGGAGATAGACAAAAATAATTCAGTTTCTGACTCAAATAACTATCTTTTTCTTTAGGACACATGGAAATTATAAAAGTATAATGCAAGGTGTGGTTAGATGCACAGATAAATATTGTGCATTCCAGTTTTACAGTGCTTTTCTCATATATTTTCAATGAATTCTCAGGAAACCTTGTAGATATTAGATGTGAAAGTGGATTTTCATGATGATTGAATCAATTCTCTAAAGTTACAAGCCTAGTTACTGGTAGAGCCAATATTCAAATACATATTTTCCAAAACAAAATTCAGAGCTCTTACCTCTATACCACATAGAAAAAAAGAACAGCAATTTGTATTGAGGAATTTGCCTTGAAGAATCTTCATGGAAAAATGAAGCTTTTACTGCCTTTGAAAATATGGACAGACATATGGTGGTGGTAGTTATGAATAGTTTAGTCTGTTCTGATGTATAGTGACTCTGTATAGGGTTTCTGAGGCTGTAAATCTTTATGGGAGCAGAAAGCCACATCTTTCTCCTGAGGAGCAGCTGGTAGATTCTAACTGCTTATCTTGTGGTTAGCAGTCCAACTTGTAACTCACTATGTTCCCAGAGCTCCTTGAGTAGACATATAAGTATAAAGAATTGGAAAAAATTTTCCAATGAGTAAACAGTGAAAAAAAAAAAAAAAGTAAGCAGCTGTAAACAAAGTGTGTGCGGCAACTAGTAAGAAAACTAGTCTGACTGGAACAGTGAGGGTTGAGATCGGAGCTTCTTACATGCTGCAATGAAATTTTAGTGTGAAGATCTTGGTATTTGATAAAATGAGAGAATGCCTGCTCACTTTAGTTACATAAAGATGTTCTTCCTGTGTCCACTCAGGTGTTTTCAAATTTGTGTTAATAACAGAATTTCTTTTACTATGATTTCTCAGAGAAAATCAGAGTAAGATCTACAGTAAATGGAGTTAACGTATCACATGAATATTTGATCATTTCCCCTTGATGAAAAATCATTTAATAGAAATTGCTGTTATTGTAAAATCATTTAATAGGAATTGCTGTTATTGTTAAGTGTTGTTGAATCAGTTCTGACTCATAGTATAGGGTTTCCAAGGAGCAGCTGGTGAGTTTGAACTGCAGACTTTGTTGTTCAAACTGATTTTGAAGTTCATTGCTTATGTTATGTTGCCACAGTAGGACTCCTTAATAGGAATATGTAGGTTGAAAAGAAATACCTGAAAATACAATGAAAGGAATTAAGGATTAGGAAAGTTGATGCCTGGGAAAGTCTCATAACATACTGATCTAGGGTGTGTAAGTTTATCTTACTTAATGGAAGATTCACTTCACCTGTAAATCTCTGAAGTTAGAGCTTTCAGGCTCCTTGTATAATAAGTAATCTGACAAAGAAGCATTTAACTAAGAGAGAAATGACTTTCTTCTTTGAATCCAAGATGTTGCTGCTTGGTTTTATTCTGCACTTTTCTAGTTTGTATTTCCATGGTGCTTTTACTGAAAGCTTAGAAGGACTGACTACTTAAGGACTTAGAGCATTGGTCAAAGTCAATAACAACAGCACCAACCAAAAGCATATCCTGGAGTTGGTTGTGAATCATGGTGAACTCATGGGCTGTAGAGTAGAACTGAGTTCCATAGGTTTTTGTGGCTCTAACCTTTAGTGTTGTGGTTGCGAATCGATCTGCGAACCGCAAGGTCAGCAGTTCAAAACTATCAGCTGTTCTGCAGGAGAAAGATGAGGCTTTCTGCTCCCATAAAGATTTACAACCTCAGAAACCCTGTACAGGGTCACTATGAGTCAGAACCAACTTCATGGCACTTAACCATCAAACTTTATAGAAGCAGCCCACCAGGCCTTTCTCCCATTCTTGCTGAATGGGTTCAAACCTCCCACCCTTTCATTAGTAGCTCAGAACAAATTGCTTGTGTTACCCAGAGACCTTGGTCAAAGTTGACAGAAATGGTATCATAGGAGATGACTTTGCCTTATATGAATATTGCAGATGTAAACTGGAATAGAATGATGCCATTTAGCACCTTACCCATAAAAGGTCAAATGGACCCCATGTTGTAACTTGATGTGATAAATCAGTAAGAGGATTAAGGTGAGAGGCAACATGGCAGTTCCATCACCACCTTGATCAAACGTAAGAGGAATTTCCCTGGAGTATGGCCTGCTTTATCTGTTGTTTTACAAGAGATTAAAGGATAGAAAAGACAAGAGGGAAGAGCCAGGAGCAGAACACATCCTTTGAACCTGGTTTCTGTGCTGGGAACCTAACTCCAGGGGAAGACTGATGCCAAGACACATGCTGGGCTTAGAGGGAATGTGAGGACTATAGATGCTAAATTGTGAGCCGATATAGTGGAAGGCTCCTGCTAGAACTGGTGCCATGAACTTGGACTTCTACCTTCATAAACTCTGAGTGAATACTTTTCTGTTAAAAAAATAAAAGTGAACTGGAAATTATTATTTCTGTTAAATTGAAGTATTACGATAAACCAGGTAGAAAACTGCCTTCCTTCCATTTTTGTTTTCCTACAGTTTAAAGCAGCAGGTAGTGTCTGCAGACCAGCAAAAGATGAGTGTGATCTGCCTGAAATGTGTGATGGTAAATCTGGGAATTGCCCTGATGACAGATTCCGAGTCAATGGCTTCCCTTGCCAAAATGGAAAAGGCTACTGCTTGATGGGAATGTGTCCCACCCTGCAGGAGCAGTGTACTGAGATGTGGGGACCAGGTACGAGCACAAACTCCAGCGATGCTGGCATTCCTGCCTCCTCCTAGGAACTCACCCACCCCCAAAATAAAAAAAATAAAAATCCTATCATTCCATGTAACATTGTCTAATTGTGAGCAAAGGACTGTAATATCCCATTTTTAAAAACTGTGCTACTGCTCAGAATCACGGATAATTGTGTGTTATGACTTAAGGTTAATTTTAGGATTGCTAGAGCTAGCAAATTAAAATACAAATTAAAATTTAAATTCAAGTTAAAAACTATTTTTAAATGTTCGTATGTCGCATGCATGATATGAGGCATGTTGTTGTAGACTATTGAGTCACTTCTGACTTATAGTGACCACACAGTACATAGGAAAATTGCTCACAGGTGCTACAGGATAATGTGCTGTGCCACAAGGTCAGTTTGAGCTGAAAGGTCCATGGTTCAAACCCACCAGCCAGTCATTTCCCATAAATCCTATACAGGATCGCTATGAGTCAGAACCAACTCGGTGATATTTAACAACAAAAATCTTTATGGGAGCAGACTCTCAGGTATTTTCTCCCAAGGACTGCACAAGTGGATTCAGACCACTAATTTTTGGTTAGCAACAGAGTGTTTTGACCATGACACCAATAGGGCTTCTATTTGCCACATATTTTTACTTAAAAAAAAAGTTGATCTGAAATTCAAATTTAACTTGGTGCCCTGTGTGTAAAATACAGGAGATGAGAGTACAGAATGGCAAAGACTAGAAATACTGGGGGATAGGCAGGGATCCAGAGAAGGGAAAGGAGGAGAAAGAAAAAAGGAGGATTCTGGGAATGGAGAAGGAGGTAGTAATCATTTTTTCTTTCTCTAAACCCAGAAATTTGAAGTCATGTTCTCTAATTATAATATATAGTAAAATCAATAAAAATTTAATAAAAACATAATTTAAAAAATATTAAAATGCATTAGATTAAATTGTGCTAAATAACTTGATTAAAAAGTTAATTTAGAAAAATCAACTATTGGACTTCTTGGAGATAGTTATCTATTATATAGTAATATTTAATTATCATACTCTTTTGGTCCACACTCTCAGATTCCTACTGAAATGGTTGAGGGAATATTTATTTTTTTGAAATAATAAAAAATCTCCATTGTCTCAAAAAATTATTTGAAGAGCGTTTCCCATGCCAGAAACTTTGAATAATTTCTGAAAAGATTCATGAGAAAAAATTTAGGAAAGCAACAATCAATCAATGATACACAGTACACACAGAGAAAAAAAAGTCACCTAGCCAATAAATGGGCAAGACCCTGGAAAAATTGAGTAGGCTGAGATCTGTGTAGAGCAAGCTGGATGCCATTGTTGTTGTTATTAAGTACCTTGGAGTCAGTTCTGACTCATAATGACCCTGCACGGGGTTTCCAAGGCTGTAAATCTTTACAGGAGCAGAAAGCCTCATCTTTCTCCCATGAATGGCTGGTAGTTTGAACGGCTGACCTTCAGGTTAGCAGCCCGAAATGTAACCACTATGTTACCAGAGCTCCTTTGGATGTCATTAGCTTATCAGGAAGTGCCAGGATGTTCTGGAGTCTGGTCTCTGTAATCTGCTTACATTTTGAGGGACATACTAAATTAAAGGTGGGGAAAAAAAAATGGTGTTTCTGATTAGAGATCCCATTTTTCTCAGAGAACTACAGTCTATAGAAAAACGGGAACAAAATCATTATCACAGAGGTGATTATACAGTAATTATGAGCATCTCTTTTATTGTTACCTGTTAATAAAATCACTGCAATAAAGTTTAACAATTACTTTCTTTTTTTCCTGACTTTCTTTAATATCTGTCTCCCCTTATAGTCAGTAAGGAGATGTTTTCTCTCTGGTCTACTTACAATAGTTTCCCTAGTGTCTCCTGGAGTTACTACTTCTTGTTGTTGTTAAGTGCTGTCGAGTCGACTCCGACCCATAGCGACCCTGTATAGGGTTTCCAAGGAGCAGCTGGTGAGCTTGAAGTTCAAAAGACCTTTCAGTCTGAAGCATTGGCACACAGCAGCCACACTTATTAATTAAGAGTTGTTAATTGTTTAAGAGTCTATTGAATTAATAATCAACATATCAATTGGAATGGAATTCATGCATTTAAGAGCAGTTCTTACAAAAGACTTAAAAAATGGTGTTGGTGGTTATGTACCTTAGAGTCAGTTCCAACTCATAGTGAGCCTGTATAGGGTTTCCTAGGCTATAAATTTTTACAGGAGCAGAAAGCCTCATCTTTATTCAGTGGAACCAGTAGTTTCGAACTACTAACCATGAGATTAGCAGACTGACTCATAACCACTACTCTACCAGAGCTCCTTGAGAAATAGATAGGCCTAAATAAATTTCCAATTTTTATTCAAGAACAAGATAAACATTTTATTTTAAATTAACTTTTAAACTTTGAAAATACTAGTTAACATATACAAGAAACAACAACAACAAAAATCACTGTATTTAATATCAACTAATGCCTACAGTTCAATACAAATCTGAGATCAAGAACAGACCGATCATCATTAAGAAATCAATACAAATGCCCAATGAACATTAAAGTAATTTCAATTCGCTAACAATTTAAAGTAAATACCTCATTTACACTTGTCAAATTTGCAAAGATTTTCTACAAGCAATCATGTTGAATGTTATGAAGGTGTAACAAGTCAGCTAGTTTTATATTGTTTTTGTTAAGTGCCTTCAAGTCTGTTTTGAATCACCGGACCCTATATAGGGTTTTCGGGGAGCAGCTGGTGTGTTTTAATGCTAACTTTGTGTTTCAAACCAACATTGAGGTCGAGTGCGTATCTTATGGCTCCACATCAGGATTTCCAGTTTTATATTGTTGTTGTTGTTGTTGTTGTTGTTGTTGTTATGTGCCATGGAGTCGGTTCTGACTCAAAGCAACCGTGTACAGGGCTTCTGAGGCTGTAAATCTTTATAGGAGCAGAAATCTCATCTCTGCAGAACAGCTGGTAGTTTCGAACTACTGACAGTGATATTAGCAACCCGATTCGTAACCACTACACTACCAGATTTTAGCACAATATTTATTAAAGGGAATTTGGAAAAATGCTTGCTGATTTTTCAATGTTGGTGTCTTATTATAAAAAGAAGTAATTAATAAATGCTGTTAATACATGTCATTATAGTAGTTCAATACATATGATCCATGTTATTATAATAGTTTACATTTAACAAAATAAGACCAATGCAATATCTTCATAGGGATATGCTTATTTTAACCAAGACTGGTTTATTTTTTTGTTTGTTTGTTTTTAAAGTATGAATTTGAGTGTTGAACAGGTGTTTTCTACTCATATCTAGGGGGTAACCCAACACAGAGACGGGACATAAGTCTTAGACTCAGAAGACTTAGACTCTGATTTCTCATCTCTCTGTGTCATAATCAGTATTATTCTAAGTTCCTTATGGATAAACGAGGACTAATAATAAGAATGGCTAGAGTCCTGGTGTGGCCATTACAGGATAAGTACTGGACTGCTAGCTGCAAGGAGTTAGAACTGACTCCACAGCACTTCTTGTTATTGTTGTTAAGTGCAGTGGAGTCAACGACCCTGTATAGGGTTTCCAAGGAGTGGCAGGTGAGCTTGAACTGCCAACTTTGCAGTTCAAACTGACTTTGCAGTCCAGCACATTAACCCACAGCACCACACCAGGACTCCACGGCACTTAACATAAACTAAAACAGTGGTTATTGACCACTTAGTACTGACCAAGTCTTGTTCTCTGTGGTTCACATATATTAAATCACTTAATCCTCAAAGCAACTGTATAAAGTAGGTGTAATTATATATACTCATTTTACAAGGGACAAACCCAGTTACAAAGAAGTTAAGTCACTTACCCAATGTCACACAACTGTTCAGTTTTACTAAGCTCTGAGAGTCTGAGCTCTTAACCACTCTACTCAATTGCCCTTCTCATAGGACTCTAGAAGGATTACATGTGAGAATAAATAAAACATATATGCAGGAGGTTGATTAATACTAGCTAGTCCTACCCAAAACCCATTGCCATTGAGTTTATTTTGACCCATAATGATCCTATAGACAGAGTAGAACTGCTCTTGAGAATTTCTGAGACTGTAAATCTTTATGAGTAAGTAACCTCATCGTTCTCCTGAAGAGTAGCTGATGGGTTTGAACCACTGACCTTACAATTTGAAGCCCAACACATCCCTCACAGGGATCTTTCTGGTAGTTGTCAGCAATAACACAAACCAGCAAGATGTTGCTGCCAAGCACCATCAAGTCAGTTCCACTCACAATGAACCTGTGTAGGGTGTCTGAAGAGAAGCTGGGAGATTTGAAGTGCTGACTTAGCAATTTGCAGTCCAGTGTTTATCCTACAGCACCACATCAAGACAAGCAAGAGGCTGTTGATATAATGATTGAAGTTTCCTTGGCTAAGTCTTAATTTTTAGATGAGTTTTTTAGCCATAAAACCATCCAAACATTTCCGAATATTTAGATAATTGGAATCCAATAGCAAAATTATTAAAAGAATATTTTAACCTTAACTTTATCTTTGAATAAATTATTTGTAGCCTATACATATTTCTCTTAATGCTCAATAAAATTATGCTAAACTACTTCTTTTCACCTTGGTTTATATTTTATTAGTTCTTTGCAGGATTGAATGTCTTCTCTTTTTTATTTTCAAATATGCCATTTCTGATCAACCCAGGAACTGAGGTTGCAGATAAGTCATGTTACAGCAGGAATGAAGGTGGGTCAAAGTACGGGTACTGTCGCAAAGTGGATGACACACCCATTCCCTGTAAAGCAAAGTAAGTGCTCTTGTTTGAATGTTTCTGCTCCTCAGACCAGGGCAAAGGCACACTGTCAGCCACAGCTTCTGACTTCTTCCATATAAAGGGAAAGTACATTTAGATATCATTCATTTGGTAACTATTTATTGAGTGACTAATATGTGCCACAATGTGAGCTAGGGGGTTGGGGAAAAAAGGACAAGAATTTTTTCAAGCTTTTCATGGTTGAGATTTCAGATGCACCAAGGATAGTTTATTAAGCAGCATGTATGTTTGAGAAGGAACATGCCTAGCTGGAAACATGCCCATGAATTTTCCAGTATATTATAGGTATTTTTGACATAGTGTTTTCATAATTATTCTAGGGGTTATTGTTGTCATCGTCATTGTATGGCATTGAATCAGTTTTGACTCATTGTGACCCTATATAATAGAGAAAATTGTCCTATAGGTTTTCTAGGCTGTAATCTTTTTGGGAACATATTGCCAGGTCTTTTGACCCACAGAGGCACTGATAGGTAGGTTCACACTGCCAGCCTTCCAACAAGCAATACAGCACTTCAATCATTGTGCCACTAGGACTCCTTGATTCTAGGGGTAGTGATATGAATCTACTCGGAGGAATAACCAATAAACTTGCCATAGAATTACATTAAAAATGAAATTGTAAGAGAGAGAATTGATAATTCATATAAATCATTTATTTTTAATATTCATACCTGGCACAAAATAATGGAAACCAGATGAACTTGAGAATATTTTATGAGATTTTGGTCTTGATTTTGCAATTTTAAGGTGATTTTTAAGATTAAAATTATAGTGAATTAAACACTTTCTATCTGCTCTAAATTTTATACATACAGAAAATTTTATAGCAAGAGGTGAAACGTGTAAGTATTTCTTAAATATTTCCTATTGAACACTAATTTTTTGAGAGCTAGACATTATTAAAAATTATTTTGAACATAACATCATCTTGGGGGAAATCTGGCTTTACATGGTAATCACCTGTGGTCTCTGTTGAAAATCACGAAATTTTCAAAGGGAGGAAAAAAAAAGTTTATGTAGAGGCACTATGTTGCTTGAAAGATAGTGAGTGACAAAGTGGGGTAGATAGGGTAGTTTTAAGGTTCCCTGATGGGACTGTGAGACTGCTAACAACAAATATGGCAGTTTGAACCCACCAGCCATTCTGTGGGAAAAGGATGAGTCTGTCTGCTTCTGTCCTACAGTCTCAGAAACCCCATTTAGGGTCACTGTGAGTTGGAATCAACTCAGTGACAATAAGTTTGGTTTAGATACATGCATATGTGTTCATATACTATTATCCTGCACAAATGCTAATATGTGCACTGGAGAATATCTGCTGAGAGGCAAAAAATACCTCATTCTCTCAAAAGTTGATCTTCAAGTCATTTCTTAATAGCTACCAGTTGTGCCTCTCTCCACTCCTTAATCATATTTTCCACTGCCAGCAGCCATGATAAAAAAAATATGATTCCATCACTGTTGGAAGAATTTTTCAGAGCTCTATTTGGAATCTGTATAAAGGAACTTACTCCAGCTTCATTGGTTTTTATTTTACTCACTTTGGCAGCAATTGAATGGGTTTTCAGTGCTACAAGGAGACAGCTCTTTGCAATACCTCGACATGGTTCCTTGGAGTGTCAGCTGAGGTTCAGCTTTGCATAGGTAACAGGTGAAAATTGAGGATGATGTATTTTAGAATTATTCTGCTGCAAGTCACCAAAACAGTTAGGTTATTATAGCTGCAAAAAGATAGCAATATATTCTGAAATGCCTTCATGATGTTAAGAATTCATCTTCCCTATACTTTCCAGCTCCATTGCACATTTGACCTCCATTTCCAAGTGATTCTATTGATCTATGATAACTTCTATAGTTTCAGCTATTACCTCCCATCAGCAAAAACTAGAAAGAGATGGTAATGAGAAATGTGTCAGGCTGAGTTCTCTACAGAAGCAAAACCAGTGACGCTGATATATGTATATATAAAAAGAGGTTTCTATCAAAGAAATGACTTACATAGTTGTAGAAATAGGTAAATTCCAAGTCCAAGGGTCAGATGTCAGGCTAGCGGCTTCTGATTCACATTGCTGCATGCCTGATGAACTAGGGATCAGCAGGTCAGTTGGCAAGCAGGCAGGTAGTGCAGGCAAGATGGCAAGATGCTGATGACTCCCAGGATTGGCAGATAATAGAGTAGGCCACTGGCTCAAATCCAAGAAACTGGAGGTTATATGAAGGCCAGAATCCAGACTCAGCAGAAAACAAGCAAGATTTACATGACTTTCCAATATATTAGGAGCAGGTCACATCACCAAAGGAACTTCCTTTAATTGATGGGCTACTCAAAGCAGATCTCATCAAGGAGTTAAATACATTATTTTGATCTCATCATGGGGAAATACTGTCTTAATTGCCAAAACAATGAGAATCCTGTCCCAGTCAAGTTGACAAAACCCTTAACTATCCCAAGATATTTTCTATTTTACTCATTAAAGAAACTGCACTTAAGATCTTGTTTCCTTCCCATTGGCCAAAAATTAGGCAATTGGTCAGAATTAGGTGTACTGGAATTTAGGAAGTGATTTGTTTTGTTTTAACAATCCTGTACATTGATATTATTTCACCCCCCTCAAACCAAACCCAGTATCACTGAGTCAATTTCTATTTAGTGACTCTATTTTGTTCTTGTTGTTAAGTGCATCCAGTCAGTTCTGACTCATAGTGATCTAGCATAGGGTTTCTGAGGAGCAATTGGTAAGTTTGAAATGCCAACCTCGTGGGTCAAACCAATCTTGCAGTCCTATGCTTATCCTACTGTGCCACACCAAAAGTCCTATAGGATATACTATAATTTGCACCACAGGGTGTATGGAACTGTATATCTTAACAGGAGCAGACAGCCTCATCTTTTCCCACAGAGTTGAACTTGCATTTAATAGTCCATTACCTAACACAATTGCACCACCAGAACTCCTGCTAATATTCAGAGATTCTACTACTGAGAAAGAAGAAGAAAATGGAAGTAACATATAAATAGCAGCCACTATTGCAGAAAGAAATACCATGAATTAAAGACTGATAATCATAGAATTAGGGCTGTTGTGGCACTGTAAGATAAGTCCACAATGTCGGTTTGAACCACAAGGTTGGCAATTCAAATTCACCAGCCTCTCCTTGGAATATACAGGGCTGCTATGAGTCAGAACCTATTTAACTGTACTTAGCAACAACAGGTCATAGAACTATTTTGTATTTATATAAAACTGTATCTTATTGTTGTTACATGCTGTTGAGTTTTGACTCATAGTGACCCTGTATAGGGTATCTGAGGCTGTAAATCTTTGTGGGAGCATAAAACCTCATCTTTTTCCCTCGAAGCAGTTGATGTTTTCAAACTGCCGACCTTGTTGTTCACAGTCCAGTGCTTATCTTACAGAACCACAGTGCTCCAATGTGTGTCTTAAAACTGTAAAACTGTAATTTAGATCCTAGAATGTCAGTGTAACAAAATTTTGTCTTTTCCTCAGTGATGCCATGTGTGGGAAGTTGTTCTGTCAAGGAGGGTCAGATAATTTGCCTTGGAAAGGACGAATAGTAACTTTCCTGACATGTAAAACATTTGATCCTGAAGACACCACTCAAGAAATAGGTATGGTGGCTAATGGAACTAAATGTGGAAATGAGAAGGTAAGTTTAAATTGTGGTTTTCACTCAAAATAGTTTTAATGCTTCATAATCATTCCCTGGTTGCTGTGTATCCAATTATTGGAAAATTACTGGAAAATGATATGCAAAAGATTGAAACAAGACCTTTACCTCACGCCCTATACAAAAATGAACTCAGCATGGATTAAAGATCTAAATGTGAATCCCAAAATTATGAAGGTCATCAATGAAAAAATAGGGACAAATGTGAGGACTCTAATACAGGGCATACACAGACTATCAAACATTTTGAAAATTACACAAACAGAAGTAGACAAAATAGATGATTGGGATATACTAAAAATTAAAAACGTATGTGCATCAAAAGATTTCACCAGAAGAGTTAAAAGGGAACCCACAGAATGGGAAAATCTCTTTTGCAACAACACATGAGATAAGGGACTGATTTCTAAAATATATAGGAAACTGCAACACCTCTACAAGAAAAAGACAAATAACCCAATTTAAAAATGGGCACAGGCCATGAACAGACACTTCACCAAGGAAGCGATCCAGGCATCTAACAAACATGTGAAGAAATGTTCACGATCACTAGCCATCAGAGAGATGCAAATCAAAACAA